GTAACCCTATAAGTTAACTTAATTAATAAATTTTTATACCTAATCTTTAAAAAGTCATATCTTCCTGAGTTTTTACTTAATATTAATAGTTTTACTATCATTAGAATCAGAAAAACCTACTTTACAAACTTTTCTTATAAATTAAAATTAGTTTACTTAATAAAATTTTTTATAAAATTAAATATAAAAAAAAATTACCATTAGGTTTATATATAATTTTAAACTATTACTCTCTACCCTTAAATTAATTATATAAGTATTGCTAAAAGAACAGTTTGTCAAATAATAAACTATAAATTGTTACAATAAAATTTTCTTTTGATTACACTTATGATAATTTGGTCTATGCAGCCAATGTTATACAAGCGGGTATGGTTTTATTACATAATTATTGCGTAGTTTTATTGGCAGAAATGCAAAAGACCTAAAAGCTATGTATATCCAATAAGATATGTTTAAAAGTTTCCTTTTATAAAACTTAGTATGTAATTTTTGACAATTACATTTTGGTTTATTGGTATAAAACTAAAAAAACTTGAGCTCTATTGGTTATAATAACGATAATATATAATATGTAACTTATATAAGAATGATATTGTCAACTTGTAATTAAAGTTGCCAACAATCAAATCCGAAATCATATGTAACCGGCAGATCTGTCCGGTTACCATTTTTTGAGAGCGACGCTAGGGTCGTTAATTCCGGCCTGAAATGTCGCGTGATCTTCGGCATCAGTCGTGATAAATAAAATCTATTTTTTTTGTATAAACTAATTATAATTTTATGAAACAATTTGTTAAATTAAAAACAATTTACAACTTGATTAGCTATTTATATTATTTTGTATATACGTAAACAAGATATATACAGAAATTGTTTTAAAACAATAAATAGTTACATCACTTGGAAAATACAAACATTTAGACGTGTAACCGATGATGAAAATTACCATCTTTTAAGCTATTACATTAGTTAAAGGAGTTAAAATTAATATAGGTATATATATATATATGTATATTAAAGATACGTATAAGTCATGCGAGAATTTTGAACTCTAAGATACTTTTTTTTTATTGATTAAAGGGGTATGCGATCTACATAAAGCATATATTGACCAAATAAAACTGCATAAATCGTAATACAAAGATCGTAATTATGAATTGCACATGTCTAGGCTGTGTGTGATAACTACAGTTTCCTAATTTGAAGGATAAATCATGAAGGCAAATGTTTGGTAACTTGTTTCGGGCCCTGCTCAGGCGTAATATATCAATTCAGTAAATTCCGCCCTAAAAAAGATTCACACCTGAATCTATCAGTTGTTAAAATATTTAATATTTAATACTAGACAGCCCTTTTAGTGAAGAAGAAAAGTACACACAACTTATAACCACCAGTTTTTTTTCTAAAGACATCATGACAATTATTGGTTTTATCTCGGGACTTTTCCGCAAGACATTCCATATTGTTGCTCTTTTGACACTCGCTATAAACCGATGGCTAGCATTTATTGCGCACTTGATTATGATGTATTTAAATATATTTTTTTTATTCAAATTTCAAAGTTATCAAGTAGGAAATTTAATTATTTTACTAAAGTAAAAAATTTGAAAATATTATAGGTTCTTTATATGGAATTCTCTTTTGATAGTTATTGGATGTGTCAATACGATTCAAATGATTATTGGATTCGGGTTTGATTTTCTGAGAATAACTTCAGGACGAACTAGTTTGACACAATCCACAGGTGGAGAGAAACGTAGCGCACTTAACGAATATTGGTATAATCGACGAAAAGGTTACCAAGAAATGGTGGATAAGTTGTATGTGAAGTATATGGAACGCTTGCACGGTGTTCAACAACAACAACAACAATATTGGCAATGGCAACAACAACAAACTTATTATTACCCACAAGGAAATATAAGTGAATATGATGAAAATGCTATAGCTGCCAATTACGGCCCGTATGATATGAATACTGCACAAATTCAGTAAATCCAGCAAATTAAAAATTATCAGATTATTTCTTTTTACAAATATCTTAGTCATAAATATAAATATATATATATATACAATAATTGTATTGGTTGGATATCAATATAGATCATTATTGTTAATCAATATAATAATTATAAAAGTAACTGTTTTCATTTTTTTAATAAAAGATAGGGAACATCTACAAATAACGTGCAAAAAGAAGTAGAAATTTGTATACAGGTTTATATACAGATTTAGAGAAAGATTTCAAATATATTAGAATAGCATTGTTCTCAACTTCGACAATATTGCATTATGAAGTTTTTTTTTTAAAAAAAAAAAAAAAAAATGAAGCATTTTTATCAATGTAAACTTTTTTTCATATACGTGTAGTTTAATAGAAAGTTATTTAATTTTTCCTAGTTTTGAAGTTCTTTATAAAGTTTCAAATATACATGTGTACTAAAATAATTAAATTATTTAATCTTGAAAACTTATTTGATCAACTTGTTATTAGACTATATAACTTAATTAGGCACGCGAAATAGGATCTAATTAGAGTTAATGACCGAAAGTTGAGAGCTCATATACTATTTTTCATAAAGAAGATTGAAATTTTTGTGTCTTTCGAAATTGGAATCATTCGGTATCATACTTATTTGAGGACAGTTATTGACAACGCCTGTAAATCTCCCACAAAAAATTAATCAAAAATTCCCCCCTAACGTGATTTACTCCTAACCCTAAAGACACCTGATCATTCGATCTACCAACTATGTTATTGACAGAGAAGGTTAAGAGATTAAGGGATCGCGTTAAATATTGATAGGTTTAGAAAATTCACGACAAAATACTAAGTTTATTTGTCTTTGCGAGAAATAATTATCTCTGCTGGAAAAATAACACAAATGTTTATTATTAAAAGTAATGAATGATACCAAAGGAAACTAGACGAATTGAATCCGGTAAATTATAAGTTTAGAGGAGTTATCGTTATTATGTAGAATTTGGTACTTTATCTAATCCAGACATTTCATATCATTCATATTCATCTATTCATTATAAAATCCACAAAATACACACATGATGTTGGCATCTATTCGTGTTTACTATTACAGTATTACTACGTATATTTTTTGTAAAATGGCATGGGTGTATTTAAGAAATCGGTGGTTCACTATATTTAAAAAAATGCGGTTGATAAAATAGTACCGTAAATGGTGTATAGAAGATCCCTTTTAATACGTAAACATACCATAAATTAAACCTAATGGATCTTTATTACGTAGATTTTTACAAAAACCCAAAGACAGCTTATTGTAAATGCAAAATATGTACGTATGCCTTTGTTACGATATAAACGCATTATACTCCGGGTCTATATAGGACTCCTAAGATAGTATCAGTATCTGGTGCGAATCACGGGGTCTATATTAATCCAACCTGGGTTTTTTCAAATTCCTGTTATAAATGCAAACTGTGCATCTCACAAAGTTTTAATGATATAAACGGGGTCTATTATATGTATTATGTTTTAAATTGGTGGAAGATAAAGAGACCCGGGCCTTTTACTCGATAGATTCGTGTCTTGTATACGCCCACTTACGGTAACGATTCGTGTCTTGTATACGTACGCCATTTCAGTCAGGGAATATACCAAAAATGAACATTGAAGATCACATCTTTTATGGTATAAGGATGTTGGTCAGATTTCATAGCACATGAACTTCAACGAATTATCGCTGTTTGCAAAAAGGTGTGACCCCCATGATTTTTGTGATCATGCGGGGAAATTTTAAATAGTGAATTTAATAAGAGAATTTAATGAGAATTTAATAGAGAATCTACGTAATAAATTGCAATCAATCATACTAGATAAATTAGTATAAAAACTATTACATATTGCGTTGTTTTTAAAAAGGTGTGCCCGCAGTACTTAGTACATGTTGCAACCCTACTAGACATTTGGCAAAAATTGTTTTTGCTTTGAAAATATTCTTGCTAGCATGCCTCCTGTATATAGTAATGACTTGAAATGGCGTATAATTTATCTACAATATGATGGTTATTCTAAATCACAAATCGCCAAACTTCTTTATATTAGTAAAAGTTTGGTAAAGAAAGTAATGCGTTTATATAAAAAATGGGGAACCATAACTTATCCCTGGCGACAAATACCTGGACGGCATAAAACATTCAATCGAAATGATATGAATGTAAAGTGTATTATTATTTTTACATCTAGTTATAATTCTACTCTAAAATTCGCATTATATAAAATAGATATTACGAAACATTATTCAAGAAAATGTAGACTGGTATCTTGATGAAATTGTTTTGCAAATAGAAATTCAGTGTGGTAAACATGTTTCAGTTTCTACACTTTGGCATTCATTAGCTTATTGTGGAATTACATGAAAGAAGGTATTTTATCTAATATATTTCATATATGTAAAGTATAAATTCTTATACTTTATTCTAGTTACATAAGGCAGCAAAAGAACGCAATGAATTGCTTCGTAGTGCTTTTATGTTATGCATAGGTACCCAATACCAATGTGAACAATTAGTTTTTTTGGATGAATCATCTAAGGATGAATGAACTATTTCTCGAGGATATGGTTATTCTGAAACAAATACAAGATCTGTTAAAAAAACAGTATTTGTTCATGGTATACGTTATACACTTTTACCTACACTTACTTTGGATGGTATTATTGCTGTAGATATTATGGAAGGTAGTTGTACAAAATTAAGATTTAAGGAATTTGTAATATCTCAAGTGGTACAATATATTTATTATTATATATTTTTTTATAATTATAATAAATTAAAATTTTTAATTTAGTAATTATTACTATATTGATATTAGCTACCTCAAATGAATTCATATTCGAATACAAGAAGTGTATTAATACTTGATAATGCAAGAATTCATCATGATGATGGATTATTAGAATATTTAAATGCATTTGGTATACATGTAATATTTCTTTCTCCTTATTCACCTGATCTTAACCCTATAGAAACTGTCTTTTCATATATAAAAAATTATTTAAAAAAATATCGTTATTTTGTAGAAAGTTGTTCAGACCCAATATACCCTTTATTAGTTGCATGTTCACAAATTACACCTTCACTTTCTAATAGTTTTTTTAATGGGGTGGGTTATAAATAAATGAATTATCAACTGATATTGAATTATGTGATAATGTATGAACTATATTATACTTTGTAGCATATTCACGAAGAGTTTCTCTTGCACCAATTGTATCTATTCCACATTTTTCAAAGTTTTCATCTGATAATTTAGATAATAATCGTACTAAAATTCTTTGTTGTTCTAATTTCAATAAAAAATTCTGGTAATAATTGCCAGTATCTTCACTTTCGTCTACTTGCTTTAAAAAATCACCAATTGTAGGTAAAGTCATTGTGATACTAGTAGCTGATTGAGAAGATGTTTGAATAGCTGATTGAGAAGGCATTTGAATAGATGTTTGAAAAGGTGTTCTATATATTTGTGAAGAAATATATAATGGAAACATTTGAAATGAATTATAAAATGGAGATACGGCATATGGTTGTCCTGAATATACTGGTTGCTGTATTGAATTAGATTGCAATGATGATAGTAATGATGATGATGCTTTAGTTTTTGAAGGATATTGATATGCAAATAAAGGATGTGTAGATGGTTCTGTTGACGTTGCCATTGCTTTACTCTATTTAAAAATAATTATAAAAAGTTTTATTTATAATATTTAATATAAATAAATTTATATAAATTATACTGTTTTTACCATTTCAGAGGCCCAAATCGAAAGCATCATAAATGTTATCTCAATGTGATTTTCTTTAGCTCTATCTTTATTTATACAAGGCTAATTATGAATATTATAATGATTTGCTTTACAAATCTCTAAGACATTACTTGCCATTATTGATTCTTTAGATGATAAATTAGAAGTTTTAGGAATACGATTTTTATTTTTAAAAGTTGTAGTAAAATCTTCATTTGAATTATCTTCAGATACATGTTGCTAAATATATATATATATAATATTTAGTAAAAATTAATGTTATAAATTAATTTTAAATTATTTATTTACTATTTTTTTTCGAGTTAGATTCAAAGAAGTACCGATAAAAGTAATAAGAAAAACCATGCTAATATTTTTTAAAGTATATTTATTATAATCCATTTGAAATTTCTTAAAGTCTTGAGCATCCATTAATTGTGTACCTGCTCCTGCTCCTTTTTCTGGTTTAAATGCAACTCGATAATCACTTGCTTCGATTGATTTTTTTATTAATGTTTCAATATTAGAATGAATTTCAGAAAGTAATTCATCAACCGCAGATACTTTAACCGTATACCATTTAGCTGGAAGAGATATTACATTTTCTAATTTAATGAATACTCCATAATTATACTCATGTTCAACATCCTTATTATCAGAAGAAATTCTTTTTTCATCAGATTTAAATGTTACAGAATTAGCTATTTCGGAATTTTTATGAAACATAAGATTATAAGTTTCAGTTTCTAAAGAAATGTCATCATTTGTGATAACAGAATATAACTTTTCTTTAGGCTTTTTGGGTGTTAATTTCAATAAAATATTATTACACCAGGAACACAAAAAAAAATTAAATGCTTCTTTTGAGCTTAGCAAATAACTATGAAGTGTGATTTTTTGTTAAATATATTTTATTTGTTCTGCTGTCTAGCTTGGGTTGAATATTTGAGTATATGCATATTTGACAGCATCGGTTCGATTTCCTCTATGTGATGCAGTAGATATGTTGCAATTACATTTATTTTGCAATAAATCGGTTCCACAATACAAGCATTTGCGACAACTAAAACAGGTTCCTCAGTAATATGTTATCTTTGTATCTTGAACATTAGCCATTATAGCAAGAGAACGATATGAAATTGCTAAAAGAAATATTCAAGTTTATTTATTATGAAAAACAAATGCAAAAGCTAATATAAATATATTTATATTGATTAAAAAATATGATCGCAAGCTTTTATACTGATTTAAAATATAATTTGATTACAATTTATTACATAGATTCTCTATTAAATTCTCTTATTAAATTCTTTATTTAAATTTCCCCATATCATCACAAAAATCATGGGGGTTACACCTTTTTGCAAAGCGCTATAAATCAATCAAATACTCATATATGAATGAATATATTTTATTATCAACAAAGCTATTAATAAAGTTTTATTTTTATCAAATATTTTAAATAGCAATTTTATTCTACTTAATTAAGATTATTCTTACTAATTACATATTAAATATTCGATCTATATTATTAAAAAATACTACTCATATATACAGTATTGTTTAAAAACATAACTTATATATTGATTTGTAATTTAAATTCTTCTTGAATGATAAATAACTTTATTTATTAATTATATTGATACCTACAATGTTATACTATAAATAACTTTTAAAATCTTTATTTAAATATAAAAACAACCTTTTAGAATTGTTTTAAGTTAATGATAATAATTTTTAACTTTTTATATAAGAGATTAAGTCTTATAGTTTAACAGTAAAGCTATTAATCTGTTACAGATTAGATCAATAGTTTGGGTTAGACTAAAGGCAAAAATCTTAGGATTTTAATTCTATTATTTAAAATAGAAATCAAATCAAATGTGAAACTTTGTGAAAAGTCTTAAGATAAAATATAAAAACAAATTAAAAATTTTCAAAAAAAGATTAATTTTACAAAAAGAAAGCATTATATGTAATAGTAACATTATAAAAAATTCAGTTACATAACAGTTTTATGCAAATAAGTTTTTAGATGATAGAACAATACCAACATCTCTATATTCAACTTGTAAAGTACTTGCTTAAAAAGATAATATAATATAATTATAATTAAAATAATAAGTAATACAATATATACAAAAAAGATTTGTAATAATGAATTAGTTAAACTAACATTAAAACATTTAGTTAAGTACTCTTAAAATACTTAACAAATATTTCTTAAGACAATTATATATTACAACTTAGATTATAAGTATTATATTTATATATAATAAATTAAAATTTTAACCTTTTTGCAATATTAAGTTGATAATATACCAACAGAAAAGTCTGCATAAAACATATATAATCAAGTTAAAAATCAAACCAACTATAGAAGTATAACTAAAAAAAGAATATATAGTAAACTGTAAATAATAATTTGAATCTTATTAAATTCAATTATATTAAAAAGATACCAAAAAGAATATAAGATTGTATATATCAAATTAATAATAATAAAAACAAAAAACTGAAGAAATTAACTAATTTGAAAAAAATTACTACATATAGTAAACAGATAGACTACTATTAAGTTAAAAATAAAAGAAAATTAAAATATAACAAAATAATTTATAGTCTTTCTAGTAGTTTAGTAATAATAATTGTAATATATAATGAAAGTTATAAAAAAGTATATAAAGAAGTATAAATTTTTTTTTGAACTTTGGTAATATTGCCAATTGATTTATTAGACTTTAATTTGATATAATACAAATTTATAGTTATATGTTTTATAATCAATTATACTAGTACTATATTTGCTATATAATTTTATACTACTGATTTCATCTAGTTATCTATATAACATCTAAGTACATATTTGCTATATGTCTATATACAGTTATTTAGACAATTACTTATGATCAGAGTATACATTAAACTACTATACAGATAAAGATTCTTATCAAACTTAATACAGTATCCTAAATATCAAAAATATTATCTTCTATAATCATATTCATATGTTCTATTCATATGTTTTACCTAGTCTTAATTTTTCTAACTGCTAATCTAACTATATCTAGTAATATTTTGTTTTTATATTTTTCATTTTTTGTTATTATACTATTTTTAAATTGGTCTTACTTAGATATATCTAATTCTTATAATCTTTCATCTTTAATATGCCTATTATTAATTTTTTTAAAGTGTTCTAACAATAGTCTAAGATTTACAATAAACTTATATTTTAAACCAGACCTGTTGCTATTATTAGTCTTTTTAACCAATTCATATCTTAAGTCAGGTCTGCTGCTGTCATTCTTGTAAATGCTCTATGTCTTAATATCATACAATAACTTGATGCTGCATTTAATTCCCAACAAGTTGCTCCTTTTTATGATAGAAATTAGAACTTATTATACTTATAAACAGAACAATTCTAATTATACTTAGAGAGTTCTTCTAACTCTAGTGATATTATACTACAATATATTGTAAGCTTCTAGCTTATTTAATAATATCTGTAAAACAATTCTAGTTATATCTAAAGAGTTATACTGATTTTAGTAATGCCATACTGTCTTGCAGATCTTATCTTATATTGGTTAGTTAATCCTAGTTTTGTTCATTATAAACTTTTATATAGGTATAACCAGAACCTAATTTGATATCTTTACATTATACAAGAAAGTTATATACCAATCTTTAAGATTTTCTTTTCTATAATTAGACTATTTAACTATGTCAAAGATGTTTTCAATTTTTGGTTAGATTAATTTTTTATCACAAACTATTCTTGTGTTTACAATTTCTCTTACTATTTTAGTCTTAATAACTTCAAACTATTCTTCCAATTAAATTTTTTTCTTAGATCCTAATTAGAACTTATTTGTACAATCTGTTGATTATTCTTTTAAGCAAATACTTTACAAGTTGAATACAAAATGTTGGTATTGCTTATATTAGAAGATATAATACTGCTTTAGTCTAAAGAACTTATATATACAATTTTTCTATAACTATAATCTTTTATAACAACTACTTATTACATATAGTGCTTATACTTCACAATTGAGTCTTCTTTTAAAAATTCCTTTTTATTCAAATTTGTACTTGTATTAAACTTTTTTATAAGGTTTTATATTTAATTAATGACTCTAATAGATTATAAAGACAAAATTAATTTCAGTCTAACTCAAACTATTGACCTTGTTTGTAGAAGGTTTGAAAGCTTATCTGCTAAACTATAGAATCCAAACCTTTATAAATATAGTATCATATTAAATATTTAAAATTAAATTAGATTCTAATAACACAAATATAATATAACTATATATAATAGTAATACAAAAAACTAATAAAATAGTAGCTAGATCTTTAATGACATTACTATAAAGGCTAGCTTAGAGAAACAGATACCCAGGTCTTAGTAACCAGATGTGCAAGAATCTCTAGGTTGGGAGTCTTAGAGATACTACCAACTAGGCTACCAGAATGAATTAGAGAAGAAGAATATTAGATTAACCTAATATACTAATGAACTAGTTATAGTTCTATATAGGCCATCTGAATTGGAAGTCTGCCAAAATTCAAAGGTATACTAAAGTACTGAGGTTATGCTATAAAGTAGATGCTAGGGTCTAAATGAACTTTACAAGAGCATAGTGGTTTAATAATTAAGTCTTAATTGCAAGTATTGGTTCTGTTATAATAATATCTAGATCAGCTATAAAAATAAGTACAGAAGACTTTAAGAGGTTTATCTTAAGAATAAATTAGTCCTAAGATTGAAATAATAATCTAAGCATCTGGATATGACTCAGTGAATTAATACAGATTACAGGTTCAAAAGATTTAAAGTAGAACATCCAAGCAGAAGTATTAGGTATAACAATTGATAAGAACTTTTAGATGAACTCCTTAAATAGGTAATATAAAAAAGTTATATATATAGCTAATTGTACATTCTCATGTAGTAGTTTATTGAACCACAATACCAATAAGTGATTAATAAAAGTCAAAAGATCAAAGAGGTTACCTTAATATTAAAAAAAAAAAAACTAATAAAATATAAATTATAATTTGATATTATAAAAAAAAACTTTTTATATAAAATAAATAAATAAATAAATATTTTTTATAAAATTAAATTATTTAGTTTAGGTTGTAAATAAACTAGTTTGAGCTTTTATTATTGTATATAATTTTTATTTTGTTACAAACAACTTTAGTTTATTTTAGTACTCTTGTACTAAAATATACAGTTAAAATTATTAATAAAGATATGAGCAAGGCCTTACCTTA